ATTCGGAACAAGTAAATTTTCATTTATTTTAAAAAAAATATTAATATAAATAAATAAATGTAAACGGTTTTTTAATCGTTCGGAAACCCGTGATCACCCTCTGTATGTTTTTATCTTGATCTTTATTATTATTGTTCATTTGCTGAGAAATATTCAAAATATTCAAAGAGCCAGTTAAACATGTGAATAAACTGAAAAATAAATTAAAAATGCAAAGGGAAATAATGCAAAGAATCATTAGTTAAGTCATATAGCTGTTACAATTTCATGAAAGAATTTTTTTCAGGATGTAATATACCTTTTTAATCAGTGGTTTGACCATTCCTAATTTATCTATTAATAAATCCACAATCACCTCCAGAACCCTTTTTACATGGTTGTGTAAACTAAGTTCCTCATTTAAATCTTCTAATATGGATTCATTAAACTCAACCTTAAGCAGATCCTTGTGCAAAAAATTCCCCTATTGCTATATTTCAAAAAATACCACACTTCTGCCATAGTCACTATTCTGTAAATATAATCCTTTTCCCAGAAAGCAGTATCGATACTGCACTTGTTGGTCTGAGATGAACTTTGAAGTTGGAGCAGATTTTGCACAAACCCTTTGGTTATATTCCAAATTTACCTTTGGTCTAACCTCTTTTGTTTCTTTAATAACAAACATTTTATCAATTATTCAATAGTTTATATAGAAGTGATCAAAGTAAATGTCAAGGACAAGATTTATGAACAAAACATGCTAACAAATGTTTTATCAATTATTCAATAGTTTGTATAGGAATTACCAAAGTAAACATTAAGGGACATGATTAACAGTCACATAACATTGTTTAATCACAACCCCATACATAATATGTTGCATTTTTTCTGATAATAATCTGATTTATGTTTGCATAGCAACTTCTCCAGATTGTTCTCTTTTTTTAATTGAATACCAAATGCAAAGTTGTATACCCTATTATTTGTATTAACCGTTAATATAACAAAGAAATATGTTTATACCTGCATCCTTAATTGACAGTATAATTAACAATTATTATAAAGGCATGAAAAAAATTCTAATTTTGGAATAGAACATTTTTGTCTGATATAAATATTTCAAAAATCTTGACAACTATTTATTAGTCTTGTAAATCTTATTTATTTTTGTCAAATGCGCTAACCTACAGTTTTTCAAAAAAGGAAATCTTCTACAGTCCATTTTTATAAACTATGCAATATGCAAATTGCAATTTGCTATTTTATTATTTACATATTGCAATTTTTGAATTTTGCAAACTACAGATTGCATATTGCAAAGGTTTGTTTTTGAATTTTTGGTAAACTGAATTTTGGGGAAGAATGAGAGCAAAATTGAAATATAAAACATTGTGGTGAACAAATTTTTTTTTGTGTTGATACAATTCGTCAAAATGATCAATCATCAAAAACTTTCTCTTTTTTGAAAATAAAATATGATATAGTTGGCTCGGTCTAATGACCTAAATTTTGAGCAAATTTTAAAAGTATAGAAGTCATTTTCTGTCCTACATTTTAAAAAAATAGCATTATTAGTTGATAGAATAGGTATTTAGTTTTAATGTAATAACGAGATATTCTCAAAAAAATTCTTTGTTGTAGAGTTCTATTCTTTTTTAAAACATGTACTTTACTATGCTCGCGAGGAATTTGTCCACTAAGATCATTGCTAAATTTAGACTATTTTTTGATCATTCTTACTAAATTTAGACTAATACTCGACCATCATATCTAAATTTGGCAGTAAGGAAAATAATTTTTTAACCAAAATCACGTGAAACCCTTTTTTTAAAAAATTTTATTGCATTTTTGAACGAATCACGAAATCGCTATTTTTGAAATTTGTCCACGTGGCGCAGCAATAGGAGGTCTTTAGACCGAGCCAACCATAGTAATAGGTGATCCGCACTGTAAACGTGATAAATCGAACTTTCCATCATGCTCTCATATCATTACTAGTATTACTATTACTATTTTCTATTTACTGTTACATTTTTTTTAAAAAAACGCGCATTTATCTATGCTAAAAGCAAAAAAAAATTATAAATAAAGAGAAAATGGAACAATGTTCGGTAAATGTTTATATGAATATTTAATAGAAATTCGGTACTGTACAAATGATCATGTGCAATATTGTTAATTCTTAATTATTATTATTACTATTATTATTATAGCAAAGTAAAAGCAATGAGAGTGGCAATCATTATAATAACGATCTAAATAACCAACAACAAAGAAAAGATCAAATTCAATATAAAAAAAAAAACTTGTATGAATTTATTAAACCAGCACATTATGATCAACAGAAAAGAAAGCCTCAACGTTCTTTACATTCTTCTTTAAATAATTCTGTTCCAACATCATTTATCACTTCCCCAACCTCTGACCACGAAAGGCGTGTAATCGAAGATCTTCCAATAATTAACGATTCATCTTTTAACAATATTATTTATAATAATGATGCATTCAATCATGATAACTCCTCACAAAATTTAGGAAAATCTAATTCCAAGTATTTTAACAGCAACAACGATAACATGAATTATGAAATTTCTCAATCTGTTGTTATTACTTCTTCTGCTTATTCTAAAGTTTCTAATCATAGAGTTCAACATTCTCATGGCTCAGATATTACCTTTAATAAATCTTATGTTAATAGTAATCAACAACAAAAAAAAAAAAGAAATCAACATAAAAAAAAAAGTTCATATGAATTTATTAAACCAGCACACCATGATCAGCATAAAAAAAAGCCTCAACGTTCTTTACATTCTTATTTAAATACTTCTGTTCCAACATCATTTATCACTTCCCCAACCTCTGACCACGAAAGGCGTGTAATAGAAGATCTTCCAATAATTAATTATTCCAATAATGATGATAACGATTCATCTTTTAACAATATTATTAATCATGATAACTCATCACAAAATTTAGGAAAATCTAGTCCCAAATATTTTAACAATTACAAAGGTGACAAAAACAAAAACAATAATATGAACTATAGAATTTCTCGATCTGCTTCTTCTAAAGTACATAGTCATAGAGTTCAATACTCTCATAGTTCAGATATTACTTTTGATAAATCATATGATAAACAACTACAACAAACATCACAACAAATACAGCCAATACAATCACCACAATCACAACAATCATCACAAAATACAAGCAGTGGTTTATTAAATAACAATAAATCTGTCTGTACAGAGGATCTACAAAATCATTCTAAAGAATTTTTTACAAATTTAGACACTTTCTCAAATTCTAATACAGTTGGCCACACCAACGAAAGCAATCATAGTAATAATAATGATGATGGTGATATTTTACTAACTAATGAGTTATCTATTAGGCCGAGAATAAGAACTTTTGTTCCCTATATATTATTTAGAGACAATGACGTTCCTGGTTCAAAATTCCATTCACCATCTTCTAACAGTACACCTAAATCTATCTATAATTATAATATACGACAGAATAACGATAATGACAATAATAGTACAGCAGTTTATCAAAGTTTTTCAAATGATAATTACACTCAACAAAATAATGATATAAATGCGAATTATGTCAATAATTTTAATTATCAATATCACTCTCAAAAAGCATCATCATCATCGTCTATATCTGTTAATAATCAAGAATTTCAATATCATCATCAACAGCAACAAAACGGAGTTTCAGGTTCGCCCGACAATCAAAAAATTCGGGATGAACCAAATAATGAAGTAGTCGATCAATTAAATGAACTTAACATCACTAATAATGATGGTGAAGATACTGCTGCCACAATTATATCTAATAATAATATTAAATCTTATAATTCATCTGAATATTATGAAAATCAATCTCAAAACTTATACCACCTATCTCATACTAACAATCAAATAGATAATTCACAACTATCTGGAACCAATAATAATAATATTTACAATCCAATATTACAACATCAACAACAATTACTAGGAGGATATAATAGTAAACCTTATTTTGATACAAATAACAAAATGAGTCCAATTATTGATAATTATAATAAACCAATGAAAAATAATTATTATAATGTTAACAACAACAACAACAACAACAACAACAATGCACATATAAACCATACAAATAACTCAAATATTACAGTTGACGCAAAACGTGTCAGCTCCTCTTCTTTTCATATGCCCTCATATCACAAAAATCATATAGGTGATTATAATAATAATGATACATGTATATCTAATATAAATGACAAAACTAAGTACAAAAAAAACGATAATAATAATAATAATGCAACAAATAAAGACAGAAGACCATCCATTCCAGCCCCAATAACAACAAGCAAAAGATTTTCAAATACATTCAAAAAATCTAAAAAACAACATCCAAAGTATCAGGAAGCAACTTTAAGTTTACAAAATAGTCAATACCAGTCTGCTATTAGATTATACTCAGAAATATTGACCCAAATTCCTAATAGTTATTCATTGAAGTGTGATAGAGCATTCGCTTATCTAAATATTGATGAATTTGCACTTGCACTTTGTGATTTGGATGATGCATTAGTAATGAAACCAAAGAAATCTCGTGCTTGGGAAATTCGTGAAGAAGTTTTTCGTCTACAAATTCAATATGAAGACGTTTTAGTTGATCAGAATAAATGCCTCAGGATCCAACCAAATAATACTTCACAAATGCATAAATATGAAATGGAATTACAAGATTTGAGTGATAGCGGTAGAATTCCAACTTTAAAAGGCAACCTAAAGAAAAAAGAATGTATAATTTGTGTTGAAGAACGACCTCCTAAATCATTTGTGATAATTTCAAATAATTGTAATCATAATGCAAACATATGTGATGAATGTGTTAATAAATACATTGAAGGTAATTTAAATGATAAAGGTGATATAAATATCAAGTGTCCTTTTATAGGATGTGATGTAATTTTAGATAATTATGAAATAAAAAATCTTGTTAATGATAATTTATATCAAAGGTAAGAAAAAAACAAAATGATTTATTTTGATTTTTCAAAAGCAAAAACAAAAAAAAAATTTAAAAATTTTAATTTTATTAGATATGACGAATTAGCATTACGTAAAGCACTCCAACAGATGCCAGATATTAGATGGTGTAAAAATCCTAAATGCAAATCAGCTCAATCTCATATAGGAAGTGAATCTGAGCCAATATTGACATGCAGAGATTGTGGAACTAAAAGTTGCTTCACGCATGATTCATTATGGCATGAAGGATTAACTTGCCAACAATATGATAAAATCGACAAAAATAAAAATAAGGCTACTCAAAAATATTTAGCAAAGCATACCAAACCTTGTCCCAAATGTGGAGTAAGAATTTCAAAGAATGAGGGATGTGATCATATGACATGCAAAGTTCCTGAATGCAAATATGAATTTTGTTGGTTGTAAGTATAATTTACAAAATAATAATTTGTAATTTGATTAATGATTTATGATTTGACCATTAAATTAATATTAACCAATAATAATTTATTATTAGATGTTTTGCGGATTATGAGAGTATTCTTAATTATGGAAATCATTATCATAAAAAAACTTGTACTTATTATAGTGCTTACGAAGAGTTGTAAATTATTTTTTTTTTTTGGATTGGTTGTATTGAATTAGAATTTTCTTAATATTTGTATGTGTATACTTGGCACTTTTATTTAAAGACATGTGCCATCTCTCAAGATTTTAACAATAGAAAGATAAAAATCAATTAATTATAAATTTATAACAATATTGTTAATTAAGTTATGATATGCTTATAAGTAATTGTTGAAGTTAAAGAGAAAGCGTTTCAAAACCCAATAAATTTAAGTTATAAGCACTTAAAATGACCAATTTTTCATACATCATAAAATCTACTGTATTAAAAAGATTGACCTATATTAATGACGACAGTAAAAATTCGAAATGACAAACCGATTAGAGAAACCAAGTTTAGCTGTTGAACAAAATTCAACTTCAGTTTACATTGTAGTTTGATATTATTCAATTTATTTATAATATAAATAATATTAATATATAAAAATAATAATAATAACAATATATTTTTCCATTTCGTCCTTTGTTGCACCTTGTAACATTAACTTCAGCAGCAATCTTACCAAGACATTTACAACTAATAATCATTGTAACTGGAATGTTTTAGTAAAGGTCAGCATCGTTTCTACCACAACCATTTTCCTTTTTATTATTATGCGATCGACAAATTCTTCGATTCGAATATTCGGAATTAGAATTCTTTCACTTCCCAGACCTTCTATACAATTGGATTCAAATTCAACTACCACATCTGAAAACTATAATGACAGTATCACAATCTTCATCTGTTTTAATTAGTTTTAAACCAGTTACAAAAAAAAGATGCGAAGAAAACTTGCAATCAACTAAAACGTGGAAAGCTAAAGATCACTATGGTGTGTAAAGTTTGTTCCAATAATCGAAAAGAGAAAATGGTTAAAACATAATGACCACATATAACCTTTCGCATAATAGTTTCAAGTTATATTTTTATTATGAATTTAAAATAAAAAAATGTATTTAAATTTAAATTTAAATTTATATAATTGGTTCGAATCAAATTATTGGTTCAAATCGTTCTAATGGTACGAATCATTCGAGTCGCTGATGGTACGAATCGTACTAATCGTTGATGGTTCGATTCGAATCAGTTCGTACGTAAGCTTTATGCAATAGTCGTAAATGGAATATCCAAATCAACCTTATTCGGAATACTGAGGTCATATGATTCTGAAAGCACAGTTTCACTCGATTACACTTACTTGGAAGTTTCTAAAAAAGTTGTTTTCCACTTGATTTTTCCGAGACTAGCATATTCCGCTGTCACATTAATATCAAGTTAGTTCAAAAAAATTTCGATGCTACAGGCATTGCTTACCTCAAAACCAACAGAAGAAACTTTCTTAGTTTATAAATGAAAACGCAACGTGAGAACCTTTTAGTTATTCATTCGCATATGCATAGTATTTCGATTTCGAAAAAATATTATTTAATTTATTAATATCGAACATAGAGAGATTTCTTTCAGACCATTTTGGCACAAAAGAGTCAACCCTTTTAAATTCTATTCAAAGAGACGTTTAAATTAGCTAATCGAATTTTACATAAATGATTATTAAAATTTTTTTTTAATAATTCCAGAGTTCATTGTCCCTGTTACGAGGATAACAAAAAAGGTGTTTGAAATGATAATTTGTTAAGTCTGACATCTAAGCTCGATATCAAAGCTCCTTGAATGCTAGCTCATGTGAAGTTTTGCTCTGTATGCTAGATTCATTTATTATGTTTTGGAATATTTTTGGAACTTTATTATATTAGTGATGATATGGAATGGGAAAATAATTTTATTTTCTCTTAGAATTGGTTTTATTATTTGGATGATGCAATTTATTTTATAATATTTCAAATAATAATACATCAAATGTGTCACGTAGTCATCATAATCATTATAGCAGATATGAATTAAATGGCTATAAAAAGATAAGTCATATTGTATTTATTTTGATTTAACTAAGATATAGAAAAATACATTATAATTTATATGTAAGAATATAAGAAAAGAAACATCAGAGCAATTGCATGGGAAGAAAATGCACAGACCAAAGCCATTGATGATTATTATCTATTCTTTGGTTACCCTGGCACAAAATTATTATTATCATTATTACTACATATGCCTTTTTCGATATTTAGTAACATAATAAAGAATTAAAATGAATATCTATTAATTCTTTCTTTTTAATTGACAAAGAGTTATTATGCATATAGTGAAACTTATAGACAAAATCATTAAGAATTAAACAGAGGATAAAGAGTTTTTTTTATATAAAGAATTTCTTTCTTTTTTTATTGACAAACAATTAGAATGCAGATGGTGAAACTTTTATAGGTGAAATTATTATGTATAAGAAGGTAAATATGGGTGTGGTCAACTCATAAAATATTATATAAATTTTATTTTTATTTTTATTTTTGGAGCCTAGGCTACAAATTGATATGTTGAGGGAAACAGATGAAGGAAGAAATAACTCAATTTGTAAAATGCTACCTACAAAAAGGATCAATGGATTATATAAATGAAGAAAGAAAGATGTGATTATAGTACAAAGAATTTTAAATCATGTACAAATCTATCTCCATCAATAAGATTACAAATAATAGCTTTATTAATGTAATTGTGCAATTGATGTAGTCTTGAATCTCATGCAATTGTACTGGTAATTTTTTATATTTTTAATTATATATCTTAGTTAAATAAAACAAATAAACCTGACTTAGCTTTTTATTACTAAATAATTCTTTCCTTGTGCATGAAATATACTTTTGCTCCCCACTGTTATGTATGTCTATTACAATGTTCGCCATGGTTATGCAATATATTTGATAATATTGTGAAAAATTAACAAATAAATGAAACTGTTAATTGTACAGCTTGTACAGCTCGAGTCATCTAAATCTGACCACTATAGCAAAACCTGGCATTCTCAACCTTCAACCATAAATTACCGATCTAATTTTATTGTTGGATAAATTGTGAATTAAAAAATTAATAATACATTACAAAATGTAAAATAATGGAGAATAACTACTTGAATGTATCACCATTCCAAAAAAACGTTTCTTATTAAATTGTTTTCTCATGTAAAGAATTTGTAATTGGTGTTAAAAGCTAGTAATGATTCATGCCAAGGTAGTCTCGTTTCTATTTATTACTATACATACATACATACATACATACATACATACATACATACATATATATAATATAAAAATGAAATATTATTAGTACAATTGTCTTTTATAAAATTCTAAATTTTTTTTATAAATCGATAACTATTAAGATTAACATGAAGACTGTTCATTTAGTTTTCCTTAATTTAACAAAAAAATATAGTAGAGGATAAGGAAGAATTCGTAACTTTACTTATAGAATTCGTAACGTATGTTGAACTTCACATTTACCTTTTTAGTAAAACTTTATTAACAAAAGTTATTAAAAGCATACTGTTCAATAGCTTTAATCCTAGAGAGTATATATACAAAGTTTCATTTAAGTTTCGCAATTTTACAAAAAGTTTTATTTGTTCAAACCTTAAAATTGTGGTCTTGTGGTTAACCTTGATCCTAAGGAAAATATCTCAAAGTCAGCATGGTTACTAAGTTAAAATTAATTTTCGTGATGAATTGCATATATAAATGCTGTCAACTCAAAACCATGATCTTTGTAATTTCTATTGTCAATCTCTTGTTTACTATTTTTTTAAAAAAACTAACAGAAAATTTATTAAGTGGGTATAGCTTCTAAACTAAAATTATTCCTTGTGACAAGTTACATATATATATGGTATCAACTCAAAATTATGATTTTTGACGTTGAACCCCTTTCTATTGCCCATGCTATGTTTGTAAATAATATGATGTGGATACTCATCCAATTATCTATAGGACCTCTTGGCAATTCAGTATGATTCCTGATTAAATAAATTAAAAAAATGAATGAATTGTTTGAAAAAAATTATTATTACCTGGATGTAAAGAATTGGCATAAACTTGTTTTCCTTCAAGCCTTTTATTTAATTCAACTGTAAATAAAATATTTGAAAGTTTTGATATTCTATAATGTACTATTTGGTGCTTGAGCATCTGGATCATTTATTTTATCAAATTCTATTTCACCCTTAGGTGCATGTTTATGAGCCATACTATTATTTAATATGATATTAATATAATGGATAAATATATGGATGTTGATAATTGACTATCTAAATAAATAATCGACCTGCTAACATTAACTATTCTTGATGGAGCTGATGCTTCAATTGTTGGTAAAAGTAATTTTGTAAGACATTTTATTTTGAAAAATTATAAAATAAGCACAATTAGCATATATATTGTGTGAATCTAATATAATAGTTAAACCAAAACTTACAAATGCCCAACATGATTGGTTCTAAATTGATCTTGAATTCCATCAACAATTAAAGAAAATAAATATTAATTAATTAATTAAAATAATAAAAAAAATAATAAAATATAAATTAACTTATGTTGCCATTATACCAGCATTATTGATCCTAACAAAAAATTTATTAATTTAATTAAACTCTGTTTGTATATAGTTTATGGATCAATTTCAAGCCAAAAAAGATTCTGCACATTCTTTAACAGATTTTAAGCTCTGTAGATCCAATTGTAAAAACTCTTTGATTTTTTGTTTCATGTTTAATCTTTTTCAAATAGCTGCTGTGTCTTTTTCTTGGAACGCACAATGACATATTTTAATATTAATGGATAAACGTTTTGCTATATAGCCGTGTGAAAAAACCGCATGCAAATGATTTCCATAAAAAGAAAGATAAGTACTTGGGAAAATATTGTTCAAGCTTATACGAATTTTTTAAATATTCACACAATAACGTCTATATTACCATGTTTTTCCAGATTCCCGAACAAACCATTGACTTGATGTAGCATTAAACACAAAATAATATAATTTTCCACAAACTTCTAATGAAAATTCAATATTGTGTGAATTTGGCCATTTTGTTATACATGTCACCCACTCACCCACTCACTTATCAACTTATCCTCCTCCTGAAAACTCTTAAACATAAGAATAATTGGTTCCAATTGTAAAAGAAAAACCGAATA